CTTGGCATAAGCCGTTGCAATTGTGTCGAAAAGTTTTTATTGTGCCTCTAACAAATGAAATTAACAACTATTTATTTTAACAACGAATACATTGTTTTAATTAACCTTAATTTGCATTCAATTAGAGGAATGTTAAACAAATTAAACTCATTAGGGATTTAATTGGCACCTGATTGATGCCCCTTTTTGTTTTATAAATCAGTATATTACACGAGACAACTGAAGTTATCTTCATTTAATTATGATTAAAATGTTTTTGGTTAAAAATAAATTTTTTATATTTTGTTTCTAGAGACTACTTTTGTGGGCTTATGAAATAAAAGAGGAAAGTTATAATATACGTTAGTCCTTCGAACTATTTTAGAAACTCTCGGCTAATAAAAGTTGCCCTGTTGTTGAGGGATAGGGTTAAAGAACTTAAGCGGTTTCGTATTTCCCATTGGGGCGGAATGGGAATGAAGCAAAACAAAATCGCACAAATGGGGAAAAGTGGGAAACCCTCTGCTGAAACAACCTGAATGCCAACCAGAGGCATTCACTCCATCTCCTGTCCGGAACAGGAAAACTCCTTACCCAGTCCCCTCATCGCATCCCCCTCTCCAGTCTTTTTGGTGTTGGACCAGCGCTGCTGTGCGGAAAAATAGCGAGTATAATCGCAATTATTTTTACCTGCCGGCACTTTTAGCACATTCCACCAGGCAAAATATGTGAGAATATTTCTTCGACTGGAAAATGAAATAGAGAACTCCAGAAAAAACTCCAGCCTTAAAAGGGCAGACAAGAACTTGAAACTTTGGAATGTTCTATTTGAAAAACACTTAAAGCTGTTGCGATGTTTATTTTATGTTATCTAAATATTTAAATCGTGGGTTATGGCCACGTTAAAATAGTTCGTGGTTAAAAACGTATATTCTTCTCGATAACAATCGATATTAAAATGCATTGATGCATCGGACTCATATACAGCAAACATTTCGGAGAATTAAATAATCATTAGTTTCAGACAAATAAACCCAATAATGACTCTCTAATTAGTAATATTAAGAGCAATTTATTTTAAAAACGATGTAGAATGCATTGCATTCATTAACCTATAATTAAAAATGATTTAATTCAACGGCCAATAAATATGAGAAGAATTGTATAATGATTAAACAATTAATTCGTACAAGTAACCGTGTCACATGCTTCATAAATAATCAAATGAGCATTTCAATTATCCCCATTTAATTTGTCCCGCTTTCCAACACAATACCAATTCATACATGTCATTAGGTTCATTCATATTAAATTCAAGATAGGAAAGGAAAGAAAAACATAAAGCAATTTATTTAAATATCGAGGGGATGAAAAACTTCCTGGAAACTGTCAAATGGAAGCCAACAGTTACTGCCACTCAGTCAGTTACTGCTGCATGTCCTTTCAGCATGTCCTTTCCTCCTTGGGCCAGTCTTTGTTTAGAGAGGAAGAATTATAATTTTCCTGCGTACCCGGCAAACTTTTCACTCAGCCCAACAAGAACATACGAGTATACATATATAAATAGTTATTTTCCACAATGTCTGATGTGTTTGTCTGGGAGTTGCTTTTGTCGAAAGCAACTGCAACTTATTTTGCATATCTTAAAAAATAGAACATACGCAGATCCCCAGCAGCCTCGGTCCGCGCCAGAGACCATTATAATACAATAACATTGCAACGGGGGAGGGGGTTGAGAGCCGGAGGGGAAAAGGGGCAAAGGCTGGGGCTTGATAGCGACTCGAGTGCAGCTGCTGTGGCAGCCATAAAGTTTTCGGTCTATAAGGAAGTTATTGCACTTCCCCCTCCGCTTCCTTTTTGGCCAACGACAAAATTCCCATCTCGCTTACAGAAAAAATGTTATACTTAAGATTCGTATACTCTCGCCGGCAATGAAAGTGATTATGGAGATATGGGGCTCAAAAAGCAGTCCTTGGAGAAGTCACTCAAGTTGTCCTTTTGAAGTTTCCCGGAAGTTAATGAAATAAGACCACAGACAAACTAGACAACAAGAGCGTAGCTTAAAGCGAAAGTTTTCAAAACGCAATCGAGAGTGTTAATGGGAAATTTTCATAAAAAATGAAGATAAAATGTTTGCTCTTAATCGTTCGGCACAGATTTTTTTATAGAAAAACTGTGCTGCAAACTGAAAGTTTAGTGGGTTATGTTTAAAATTAAATTCAAGCACTGAATAATACAGCAATGAACACTGATTACAGAGTTTGGTTACCCATTAAAGACAATATATTTCCAAGTCTAGATTTATAAACTGAATTGTGTGTGCTGGCAAGTAATAATTATTTAATTATTATCCCTTATTCATAAATATACCAATGTATTTATTACCCGCTTTCAAGTTTCACATTTCCATCAGTTCTCTAAAAGGGCATAGATGATGCCTTACTTTGGTCAGTTTTTAAAATATCCCCACATAGTTGCATGCCAGACACAATTTCGTAAAATGTTTAATCTACGGTTTTGTTTTTTAGATGGGGAGAGCAGGGGGCGGCAACGAGGGCGATGGGTTGGAAAGCACTTTCGCATTACTTTTGTTTTAATATTGCAGCAAATGGCTGAAAGCAACTTGGCATATGTGCGAACATTTTATATGACTGCTGCCACACACGAGCGTACACCCAGATGGGAGTCGACTATTGTTTTATTTTTGGGTCTGGCCAGGCGGCGGGACAGCAGCGGCCACATGGACAGGAACATGGTTGATGCGGATGTGTTTTATCTCCTCCCACCCAGCCACCCACCGCTGCGTGGGTGTGTGCGTGCTCAAGTGGGTGAATTTGACCGTGTGTGTGTGGGAGTTCGCTTTCCTTTTCTGGCATCCAAGGCCGCAGAAGCAGCGCATATAAGGCCAGAGCGTGCCTCTGCATTTCGCCCGCCCAAAACAGTTTCAAATTATGTTTGAAAAAAATTATACAGAAAAACAGCAGCGAGTTGCTGCGCACTGAATTGCAATAAAAAAAGTTTTCGTGATTTCCCTCAACAATAAAATAACTGTGCGGGAAAATAGTAAATACTTTTATTAAAACGTTTTACAGCTTATTTTTCCCGCCAACTTGGGGTAAACATATTTCAACTTTTATCATTTACGTTCTGCACCCTTTTTCACTGCCCCGGTCTCATATCCATCGAAAACCCCTCATGCTCAAAGCAATTAATAATGAGTTGAGAGCCTGGGGAAAAAGTAGTTCTTGATATTATGTATTATACTCATAAAAAAGTGAACAATTATTTATGTAATTGTAAGAGTGGCTCTACAATGAATATTCGATTAATTGATGCTTATAATGTGGGAATCCGGTGTTTGAATTTATTGTATATTCTTGCTGAGGATATTTAAATTATGGTCAGAAGGTTGTAGTAATGGCAGATAGAGATATTTGCGAACCCCTAATGTCCTTATATTCTTAAGGGGTAAACCTAAGTAGCTCAGTGAAAAAAACGTATTTTTTAAGTTTTTTTTTGGCTCAATGAAATTATCAATCAAAAGTCTGTTACGTTTGTTTTATGTATGAGTTTTTATTTTTAAAATTCTATTTTGAAAAAAAGCGGCAGTGTTTATCATTTATTGAAAGATCCTTTTCTATCTCTTTTTCTTAGCTCAAGCAAGTCTTAACTTTTGATTTTAAATTTGGACAGCAAATTTAGTTCTGTATTAAAAAAATGTTTTTAAATATTATAATAGATAGAAGATATTTATTGAAAATCTTGGCATTTTAATTCAAGACCATAGAGCATACTTAAGCAAAACAATTTATTTTTATTTTACTCAAAATTTTCGCTGGGTTTATAAACAGTAATGGTGATTAAGGCGGAAACTAAATTAAGTTAATGTCCAATTGTCTTTTAATATGTTTGAAAACGACGATGATCTATACTGTTCATTTTCCAGAGAAACCAAGGTCTAAATTAATTTTTCATTTCGTTTTATTTTCTACTTTTACTTGGGAGTGTAACGTCAGAACATATTAAATTAAATTAGTTTAACCGAAATTGTACCACTCTTTGCAAAGGTTTTTACAAATTACGAAATTACATCTCATTACTTCCGATGTTCCCATTTACCATTCCCAGTAGGTTTCCATCTCTTACTGGGTCACTTGTTATGTGGGCCAAATACATATTCCCGTTGAAAAATTAATATCAAATCCAGGAGAGTGGAGGCTAGGGACCTGGCTTGGGAAACCCCAAGGACCAGTACCGCAGAGTGAGGCATAATAAAAATAACAATAAAATATCACTTATAGAAACAACGGACCGTGTCAATGAAACAAAAAATGGAGAATAAAACCGGAATCGAAATGAGATGAGATGAGCCAAGCCAAACAAAGGGGGAATTGAACAGAAATCAATCAGTTGATGGAATGCTTTTATAAAAATTACAATACCACACAATAGTACATTCAACGAAATTCCAAGCGGATGACAAGGGATTGGCAACGGGGATTTGTATGCGCACATTAATATCCTTGATTTGTCCAGATTGATTCAAATATACTGTGAATGCTTGCTTAAAATGCAATCACCAATATTTCACATTAAATTTGCTGCCAAACTATCAAGTTTCATATGCCTAATCATAGCCATTCCCCAAGTGTAAGATAATTTGGTTCTAATTAATCATTTTAACTGTGTGGGGCTTGGATTACGCGACTGATTTATGATCCACCTTGAGGCACGAGGGGAACATGGAGGCAGCTGGAGGAAATGGATATTGGACACGTTTCTTGGGCCGCCGACATCAAAGAAATAGAAATGCGATTTATTTAAGTCCACGCCATAATTACAACTTCCCCAAGACGAAATGAGGACACCCCCTTTCCAACTCCCCCTATCAGCATATCAAAGAAGTCAGAAATAAACAGCGGAGTGTCAGTCAGCCAAAGCAATTACATCATGCCAAACACATGCATATGGTAATGACAAATATTAAATACGTCTGTAACACTAAAGGTTAAAAGAAGGTCTTTAGAAGTTGAAAGATGGGAAAACCGTTTTAATAACTCCTGTTCTTGGGGGATTCGATTAACTACTTAGTACAAAAATACAGAATTGTAGATTATTCGATAGGCAAATAAATCGGTTTTCAAAGAAATTGTCTCAGCACTTTTTCTTTTTGTCCTTTTTGTCCGCTTCCTTGATATACTTGCAAAGCTCCGACGAGGAGAACGACTTCGGCCTCTCGATGGGTGCTCCCAAGGCCCGTGACCAAATGAGCTGGGACAGAACTCCCAGCGCCCGGGAAACGCCGAAGAGGACCGTGTAGTAGTTCAGCTCCTTCAGGCAATAGTGCTGCAGCAGGACGCCCGAATGGGCGTCTACATTTGGATACGGATTGGCCACCTTGTTCAGCTTCTTGAGCACGTCTGGTATGATCTTCCACAGACGAGTCACCAGCTTCACGCCCGCGTCGTCCTTGCAGTGCTTCATGGCGAACTCGTTTTGCAGGACGAACCGGGGATCGGTGTCCCGCAGCACGGCATGTCCATAGCCGGGAACAACCTGCAATGTCATTAATTATTGCAGTCTTATTTCAATCGTTGTTAGCAGTAAAAAACATATTTCCCATAACAACTTTAGGGCCTGATTAACAGTCTTAGTTGTAGGTTGCAAGGAGATCGTTGCCATTTTTGGTTTCAAAAAATTTACATATAGCTACCGCATGAAGTAGAATAACTAAAATAATTAAATGTAAAACTATGTTAAATGCTTAAAGAAAAAAAATGATTTTTGTACAACTGTTTAATAAACCGCCGTTTTATCAACTTTCGGTAACAATTTAAAATAAAATAAATAAAATTTCTGTCGAGCGTGAAAACGGCGTTTTTTAAAGCATTTAACCTGCCATCGAAAATCCACAGCGAAAAACAACAACCAAAAATAATTTTTTTTTAAGGAATACAATATTTTATATAGCACCAGATGTTTTAAGTCCCGACATCATTTTGATTTATTCGGAAAATCTCAATAATTTAAAAGCCTACAATGTAAGAAGGGTGGAATCCCCTTTAATGCAGATAATGTATGATTACGCATATAGGAAAATATGCTATAGTCTTTTTATTTTAAGTACTAAAGTCAGATTTAATTTTGAAATCTGAATTTGGGTAGTTGTTTGTTTTCCTGAGCTAAACTGTTCCTTAGGTGTGCACCCAAGCTGTTATACATTTTAAAATTTTCCTTGTTCAAATATTGGGAGACCTAAAAGCATTGATTTTTTATGGGTGTTCTGAGAATTTGGAAAACCGAATGTTATAACTGGTTCTCGGTCATTTCTGTCTGCTGTTCGTAAACTTAATCGTTATTTCAAGCACTCTCACCTGTCCACTTTGCAGCGTGTCGTCAATGAACTTCTTCAGCTCGTCGTCCGTGGGCTCGTCGCCGATTGCCTTCCTGAGCTTCGTCAGCCAGACGAGCACCTCCTGGTTGGCCAGGCCGTGAAGCGGTCCTGCCAGACCGCACATGCTGGCCGAGAAGGACAGGAAAGGGTCGCTGAGCGCCGATCCCACCAGGTGGCAGGCGTGGGCGGAAACGTTGCCGCTCTCGTGGTCCGCGTGCAGGATCATATAGAGCCGGATCAGGTCGATGAAGTCCTCGTCAGGCAGTCCGAGCATGTGACAATAGTTGCCCGACCAGTCCTGCTCCTTGTTGATCTCCCGGGAGCCCTCGCCCTCCTTGAACACGTTGTTGTAGATGGCCGCCGCCACGGCGGGCAGCATGGCGCACAGGTTCATCGAGTCCTCGTAGATGGACTCCCAGTAGACCCCCCGCTTGGCACCCTTGTTGTATGCCTCCACGAACTTGCTCTGCGCATTGAGGCAGGCGCAGGCGGCGCACAGCTGGGCCATCGGGTGTACTCGCTTGTCCATGGAGTCAATCATCCGGAGGCAATAGCGCGGAACATTGCCACGCTTCACCCACTCTTTGGTGACCTCCTCGGCCTCCTCCTTTTTGGGCATCTCGCCGGTGGTCAGCAGGAAGAAGACGCCCTCCGGAGTGCCCTCCTGCGACCCCTCACGCACCCGCGGCAGCTTTGCACACACATCCTTCAGCAACATTCCGCGGTAGAAAATGCCCTTGTTTTTATCCAGGCTGGCCAATAACAATATGAACAACATGGAATGTTATAATTATAACAACTAAATGGAGTATTATAATACTCTGCCTGGGGTTCTTTTAACAAGCGTATTATGTTTACAAATAAACTAGGAAAAGTATAGCCACCCATTAGTTCGATTTCATGATTTTATGTTTGCCCACCTACTGTGGAAAATATTATAAAATCGACCATCATGAATGACTGGTGCCGAGAGGGATGAGTTATCAGTTTTCAAAATGTTTAAATATGTGTTTTACAATTTGTTGAACCCTTTAAAAAAATCTTTAATATTACTGCGACGAGTCCTGCTATTATCCTATTACATTTACATGAAATTTTAATACTCCATGTATTTATTTAAAGTAAGGTATTATCTGTTGAATTTTAAATAAAAATGATACAACAATTAACCTAAAAACAGGTTGTAAAATTTAATAATATGTTTGTTTTTATCTTTTGAATTCTAAGAAAGCGTACACAATTGGCAATCACAAAGAGATTATAATTCTTAATTTCTCAACTAAACATACCTGGAGGTCTCACAAAACAGTAGCGGAAGTCCTCGCATTCCACCAATCACGCTATTAACGCTGATCTTGGCAATCGTCTTTGTGCCGTGCAGACATTTGATACCTAAAAACTTTTCACGCTCCACGGGTATTTTCTTGGCCAACTTGGCCTTAATGCCCTTGTCTCCGCCACCTTCACAGTCTCCATAAGAACGGATGGAAATAGTCTGCAAGAAAATATTTGTTCAAGTTTCGAATGAAGAATATATTTAGACTACCTTCAAGCAGCTCTGGCAGAATCTGTGAGACTTTGTTTTCTGCATGGTAAAGAAGAAGATAAAGATAGATTTATGAATTTAGAATTTGGTTAATAAATGAGACTAACAATAGCAATGACAAATCAATTTCGATGAGATTTTACACACGGCCTTCTGCTTTTTACAGCCAGTAAATTTAAAAATAAGCAACATTGACGAAGAAACTAGTGGTTTTAAGTCACATCCCCATCCATCTGTTGGTGGAAATTGGTGAACAGAGTAACGGGTATCGGATAGTAGTGGCAGTCGACCATAGCGTTCCTTCTTATATTATTTATAGATATAAGTTTTATGTTAAAATCGTGTTTGCTTTCCTCTTTGAGAAATTGTCAGAAATGTCTGTCACTCTCTCGATTTTCTGCTGTTTAATGTCAACAAACACTGTACAACGGCTTAAATATTGTTCTCCTGTTTGCCATTCAGCAAGCAGGATTTTATAATAAAACTTATTCCAGAATTTGATTGGAAAGCGCTTTCGCTTGGCATTTATTAAGATGTCATTTCGGATGACCATCTTTAAAACCCTTTTAATAAATGATGGCGAAACATTTTTATTAAGCATTCAAATTGTTTCCTTACATTTGTCAGTGTGTTCGCCGCACGCTCAAGAATATAGCCATACAGACTTATGTATTAAATAAATCTTTCATGTTCTAAAGAAGAGTTTTGGTTCCTCAAAGCAAACAAGAAAATTAATTTATGCCATTGATTGGCCTCTTTAGTCCTCATAACCAAATTCTACAAATCAAATCACCGGACGTCTGCTCAAGAATAAATGATACTCTTGCAGACCCGTGAAAGCCTTGAATTGATATTATTGAATTCATTCCAATGCGGTTGACGGATGCCAGAGGAGCCAAATTGTTGTGTGCAATTTGTCGTGCGTTTCCAGGGACTAACTTTAAGCTGCAACCAAAATTAATTCCTGTTTGTTTGTCGCTTAACGAAATTTTTCGGTCATTTGTGTGGGACAAAAGCCGAACTGCAACGAACACAGAAGGCCACCCACTGGCACACACTCTCGCTCTCAACTGGGAAAACTGTGTATGAAATTGCAAAAAATTAAATATCTATTTGTAGTTTCGGGCATTGGGGAATTTTGCGTTACTTTGGCTCATCTGCCAGAAACAGAGTGCCGTTGGGTGGATAGGGATGGGGAATGTGAGTGACTGAGTGGAATTGGTACTTTGGTAGCGTTTTTTTTATCTGCCATTGCCCATTGGGCTGCACTTTTGGGAATTTTTCGGTTTTTGCCGCCATTGCTACTGCCCAGCAAATTTATATTTGTTTGTTTGCCGTTCTGATTTTGTCCAGCTTTGGGGCAATCAGCGCACAAAAGGCCGGAGTGAGAAAAAATATATAAAACTTTGCTTTTAATTAAAACATATTTTACATACACAGCCAACGAAAAAAAGCGTATAAATATGAAAATATTTTTGCCCCGCTTCACTAACAGCCATCAAATGGAAATTAAAACTTTATCGCTCGCTAGATCCCGCTTCGCTTTTTGTAAACTCCCACCATCCTTTCCCGGGCTCTCTGCAAATGGGCATTCAGTCAACAAGTATCCCACTTTGGCTTTTTCCACTCATTATTTCGCTTTTTTTGCCAGTAAGTTTTGCATTTTATTAATTAACATTCAATTAGCGAAAACGATTGCGGCAGTGCCACATTCAAGTGGCATTTAAGCTATTCACCAAATTGTAAGCCGGCCATTCAGATATTCAAACAGAGTCCGCTTTGGCAAATGCAAGGGTTTTCTATAAAATACGATTTAGTTTTTCACCGTTTTAGTTTTATCTCTTTTTCAGGAGCTCTTAGTTTGGAGCATCAATCTTTTTTGCTGCCTCGACACTGAAAATAACAATGAATACGAAGTGGAGTTAATTATAGAATGTAGTGCAAAATATGATTAAATTACTACCGATTTTCAAAGGTGACTAAAAAAGTTCAAATAGGGACACTATCAACAAAAAAACAAGATTAAGTTACTTTTTAAAAAAATAAATTTAAAAAAACGACAATAAGTGGCACTCAAAAGCACACAATGATTCAGAAAATATCGACTAGAAGAGTGAAATAAATAAAAATAAATGACTTTTTCACCCAAGTCGATTTCGTTCAACTTACGAATAAGTATTACTTTTTTTAAGTGGCTGAGCTCCTCCTATTTCCATGTTGTCCTCCATAAATTTAACGCTCTGAGATTTTTTCCGCTTTGCCTTGGGTGTTTGGTTCATTACAAGTTTAAATAATTTCCCTCGCTTCAGCGCCCTTGCGCCTTTGTTCGCCGTTTTTTCCGATATTGCGAAGGCAAAAGCTTAAAGTGGACAACGCCCTTGAATGCGAAATCGAATTTCGCACTTAAGCAGCTGTCAGCAACGGTATCTATCTTGCCCTAAACGCCCAGCTTCCCACTCCACCCCCTTTGCCTTTGTTTTGGCCTGAAAATTGCATCATGGACAAGTTGTAAACAGAAAGCATGGGAGCGAAAAGGTTGGAAACAATTTTGTTGCCTTAATGCATAATAGACAGCGTCGTATCCATGACAGCCAAACTTTAAAATCATTTTATTAACTTAACTTTGTTGGTTACCAAACACTCACACAGAAGCTGCAAACTGGAAACTCTGAAAGTCTTGGGCCAAGGGCGGTCAAATAAAAGGAACGATATTCAAACTTGACAATATTTAAATTGGGGAGTGTACCTACGCATTTCTCTTTCGAACCTGCAGTCGTATTTAAGCTGGTTGGCGATGATTTCTTTGCTAAACTTGAGCGGGATGTCATATGCAAATGCAATTACAATACTTTCAGCATCGCCTTCTTATTTTCCGTGTGCAACCCAATCGATGGCTCTGCATCTCCGCACTTGATGGAGGATGCTGTACGTGAGTGAGTGCTCGGGGTGCTTCTCCACGAACTTTGACGTTACCACTAATGAAAGTTCGCCCACATACGAGCGTGTTCCTATGTGTGGGAGTGTCGAGGAGTTTTCGCTTAGGTTGATATTGCTTGGCTTTTGTTGACATCACGTCGAACCTGTTACGAGTGTGAGCTCGATTTTCCCTATACTCTTCGGTGCAGCCCGAAATTCACGTGTCTGAGGTCACGGTGAGTCGATGATTTTGACAAATCGGTAACAAGGACGTGGCCAACCCGAAGGTCACATCATTTTCAGGGGATATAAAGACGTTTGCTTTAACCGCGCACTTAAAACTCAAAAACTCCAAAGACTTATTTAGTAATAGACTTGTCATTAGAAAATGGAAGCTTATTTGCACATTTCTACGAGATTTCATATTTCATACATACAGAAACGTTAAAAAAAAATATTTTGTACCAATGGTTAATCAATGTTATTCATTGGAACTCCATTTGATAACATTGTAATACATCGTTGATGAATTATTATTACTTACAGGGTAAATTCTTCAACATTTGTACAAAAAAATTAACGAAGCTAATGTATATAGCAAATTTAATACAGAAAATACTCCACATTTCTTTCTATCCTTTAACGAAAAGATAATTGATATACAGAATAACCTCAAAATTAGATAATTAATTTACTTAACAGCTATCTATAAGTGTCCGTCTTGACATTGAAGAAAATTAAATTTAGTTTACTTAACTCAAATTCACTAAAAGCATATATAATTAAATATTATCTTCTTAAGGAAACAAATGGATATTTAATAATAAAAGCTTTAAGTGTCTGAAATCTTTTTTTTCAGTAGGGCCAATTAAAACATGTACATTGTACAAATTGGGTCGATAGCACGCATCGCTTACCGCTGGAACGTTAAACGGTTATATTGTTTTATTTTTTTACTACCAGATTCAGCTTTTCACCGCACAGAATGCAAGTCAGTATGTGCATTGAACGTCGCTGTTTATGACAAGAAAATGTTTATACACGGGAAATATGGCCCTGAATTTTGCATATTTGAGTACGCAGCAGTAAACAGACGGATGCCCGAAATCGATGTAAAATTACAATCGAGGGCTCGGGGGGGACGAGAGCTCTGAGCAGAGATTGTTAATTAATGTTTTATTGCCGTTTGACTCAATTATTCATTAAACTGCGCCGCTACCTTTCGCTTGCATTGAGTGGCTGATTAAATGGCTGGATAAACCGTAGCATAATGAGTAATTAAGCGGTTAAGTGCCGCGCATAAAAGCCTCAAGTCCTGCGCCTCGTCTGCATGCCCACAGATTTATGACAAGCACGGGGCGCATTCCACTCCGAGTTCTGAATGGATTTCTTTAAAATAAAAGCAAATCAAAGTGAAATACATTCAAGCACCATTTGGTCTGCAAGTGTTTGCTCCAGTACCGGAGGATCCAACAAGTAATTCAGCTTGCTAAAGACGCTTTTATCTCGCTTCTGCCGCACAGGCGGAGCCCAGAAGGAAATGCGGCCAAGTGGTGAGCAGTTAACACAACACACATGTACTCCATCCACTTCGGCCCACTTCAAGCCCTCCGGCACTCGTCTGGCATAGCATTTCTCCCTCGGTCTGTGGGCCAAATTGAGTATTAAGTATTTTGAAATTTTTTGTAAAATGAAATAAAAACGCAGCGCAGAAAAGAGAATGAACACAGCAACAGCAGCAGGAAGTGGTCCACACACACACACACACACATATAGATAGCCGGAAACGGAAGCACTCACATTATTCAACATACCAGAAGTAGCCCAACCAATGAGAACTTTCAGACTGATGACTTTGCTACCCCACTCCCACCATTAGACATATTGATGTTATGTGTACTCTTTCAGGGACGTTGATTCCGCAGGTGAATGCTTTAAATTGCCTTAAGGTATAAATATCATTTCAAACTTTGTAGCAAAATATATGAGTTTTTATGTCTGTATATTTACAAGTTCTAAATTGATTTAAAAGCAAAGTTCTGTAACAATGCAGAAAGATAAAATTGCACTTTATGGTAAGTTGTTTTTCTCAGGCTTCTAGTTAAAGAAAACCAGGTTTTGAACTATTCCAAACTTTAGAAGTAATAAACCATTAGTGTAGAGCAATTTAAGGTTTCAAAATCTCAACGATTAGCTCTGCAGCATAATCTCTTTAACCCAGTGTAATAACTCATCGAATAACTCTTATGATTTTGTATTTTCTTTATTTCCCCTACTTTTGGCTTTGAATACTACAGATACACATCAATTTAGTTTTATGGCCATATCTTTCCGATTCTACTTGGCCCAAGGGGGCCATTTTCGCTGATCCCTTTTAGCATTTGAAGTTATTTATTTGCATGTTAAGATTTTGAACAACTTTGAAAACGATTTTGCTCGATAAACCGAAGCCAAGTTTTTGTTACCTTAATAAAATTGCCTATTTTATGATGATTTTTCTACGCATTTTACATTGAGTGTAATTCAGTCAATTAAATTGTTTGACCCTAAAACCAGCAAATAGCAGTTTGGCCCCAAAGAATTGCGTCATTGCGGCCGCTTTTGGTCATTTCTCTTTCAATCTTCACTTTTCCTTGGCTTGTGGCGCATTTCGGCCGCATTCATTGCTCACTTTAAGTCTCGACATTTTGACTCGCAAATTAAAATAAATGGCATCACATTTTTTTCTTCAGATTTCTGCTGGTGTGCTCCATCTCTTTTATCTGCTTCTCTCACTCCGAAGTAGATATTTAAACGACATTAAGTTGACTTAATTTCAACGCCTTGAATTTACCCAGCATCTTCAAGTTTTTCTTCTCGATAACGCAAGAAAACGAGAAAAAAAGGGCGGGAAAATGTGGCCAACAAAAGGGGAAGCAATTTGATTGTAACAGATTTAATTACAAAGTTCCGACCAAGTCGTGTGTTAAATTTGACCAAAAAGTTCATAAAAATGCATAATCTTAATGTCCGGCTAATGAGGCGTAAACAAGTCACGGGTTTGGGTGGGCGTGCCTTCAACTTTTCTTTTAACAAATTAAATGTAATTTGTAACGCAAATTGAACACAATCTGAAAAGGAGCAGATATACAAAAGCGATGATGTGAAGCTAAGCTCGTTGAAAAAAATTGTGGATTAAATTAAGGTTAATTGTTAAATCTGAAATAGAGAAGCCCCCATTGAACTTTTCTGTAATGAACCAATAAACTTTGTGAATCAGAACGTAATACAATATTAGATGCCATAGGGCAAGCTTGAATAAGATATTCTGGAGAGAAAAAGGATGAAACAAGGGATAAATGTAAAGAATAAGCCTGGTTAATATTTTTTCAAATGGTTTCGCTTTTATTTTATTATTTAAAAATGTTCTTAAAGCAACTTTTCCTTTGCTCAAATTGTAGATAAAAATAAAATGTTTTCTCTTTATTTGGTTTTAAATTTTTGTTTCACTTATTATCTTGTAAAGCAACAATTTTCAATAGTTTGGTTTTTGTAATGAAAATATATGTACTCCAAACATTCTATTGTATATACTTTCTTTATAAAACAGCGACGTTTAAGTACCTTTTTTAAGCCCCGGCACGCTAATAATAAATCACTTTAGACCTTTGTTACTGTTTCAACCCACAACCCGCTTATTCGAATGCCCATCTCTAACAACCAAATAATGGGAGTCCTAACATGAAAACCCGATACTGCAAAAATAACTTAACCCTAGGGACACTCTAAGGCATATGAAGGCTTTATTTCTACAACTCTAATTAGGAACACAGATGTGTGGACTCTTCTATGTGTTGTTGTGTGTCTTTGTTGGGGGAGTATATAGAAAATAGCTGTGGACTTTGAGACGATAATTCGTTCAGCTATAGGTAGATAAGCTACTCTGAGCGGTGATTGACACCGCAGTTTTATTGGCTAAGCACACAGCACATCTTTAAGCAATTAAGTACACTTTCAGTTTCCCGAAGACCATTTAAAACTAATATTTCCTACACTAGATCTTACAAACCAAACACTCATTCAATCATTCAGGGGGCTCACTCTCTTAAATGCAATAAACAATGATATAAATACGTGAAAGAAGACGTTGTTGTGCTCATATGAGGTTACTAGGAGTAGGAGTATATTTCTGGATTGTCACAGGAAAGGATAGGGCTAAACGGTAATGCTGTTCTTTATCCGGAATTTTGAGTCAATATTGGGTAAATTTCATGAAATACTTATGGGTTCTATGAATTCCGATTGGAGGGTACGCTAGCTAAGCCCTTATTAAACATTATTGGGTTTTAATGACTTTGGGTGATGGTTTACTGATTACTGGTAAAAAATACTTTCAGCATGATAACTGACAAAATTAGACCTATAGATAAAGTCAAATAGTAAAAAAGGGGATTACACAAACATTCATAATAATACTAGTTGTTTTTTTTTCTGACTAATCTTTTCTGACTAAAACTTTAAACTAATCCTTATATTCACTGACTTAAATTCATTATAGTTTTTGGTGTTTGTTACTGAACCCGCTACCGATCTAGCACCTGCATCTAAAGCTTAGAGATTAATCGTATCCAAGTCCTGGCAGGGGGCACGAGGACTCATGTCGTCTGTGCCGCCACTGCCCCTGCCACCCTCGCTCCCTGTGCCCCGCCCATCAGCCGTTATATCCGCCATCGACGAGTGGTTCTGATTCTGTCGCAGATTTGTGTTGTTGTTGACCGTTTGCTTGCCCGACACGTTGTTGGTCTTGGAGGCCTGTCCATCAGCCGAGTTCAGGTTGTTGTGTAGTGCCTGCGTCTTCTTGGTACCCAAACCCAGAGGGAAGGCAAAGTCCTGAGGCAGTTTGTGCATGATCTTGCCAGAGGTGATCAGACGGCCAAAGCCCTCCTGAATAGGGGGAAAGTATAGAATTAACCTCAGGATTCAATAGTTAGGATAAGTCTAGGATGTTGGCCTACCTGGTGGGCAAAGGCATATCCCGATCGCACGGAGCGACGACCGCGACGCGATGAAGCTGTTCGTCTCACATCACTAGAGGCCCTCGAATGTATCTTCTTTAAGGACTTTTGACGTATCTGCAAAAAAGGAAGAGCATTAATAAAGAATATGGTCGATGGTCGAAATAACAATTACTTTGTCGGACAGGCTCGGATGCACATCCAGCAGATAGTACTTGTAGGCCAAGACAGGGGCCACCAGAGCCATCACTGTGATCAACATGGTGACCCAGAAAGTCAGATCCTTCATTGCCTGTGTCAATGAGCCCACATAAGGTCCTCCAATGACATAGTTGTAGAAATAGTCCAGCACAAAGTACCAAACCAAACTACCCCAAATGGTCACATGATTGACAACGGTCCAGTAAGAGGTGTACAAAGATATCTTAAGGAAATATAAAATTCTTATTTAACATCATGATTATGAGGTATAACGTGTTCTAATTTTTTTTAGATGTGCCTTCAATTATTATCAATATAACTTACGTCCCGAATTTTATTAACTCACCTGTGCAGTATTGTCCACTATGAGTATGGTGGCCACAACGGCGCCCAGGGTCATGTGATCGCTCAAAATGTAGCCGTTTTCCGAGACGCCATCCTTATATACGCCGTAAGGAATCAGGAATAGGACAAGCGATGTAAAAGCACCGTGTAACACACTGTAGATGAACTCGCGTATGTTGAACAGCTCGCTTTTTAAGCCCGGAGTGTAGAGACGTGGGAACTCCACGCTGTTCTTGTCCGAGACATCCTGCTCGAAGACGCCCAATGCCAAAACCGGCAAGGATGTGTAAAACAGATTATAGACCGAAATGAACATCGGGTCGAACACCGTCTGCGATTGGCATGCAATTAGTACTTGGCACTGACATACACTTGTAGACAAAACCCACCTGAGCGCTAAAGCCGCAGAAGAGCGAGTACCAGCAATGGCACAGGGTAAATGCAAAGTTTTTGTAGAAAAAGTATCGTAGAAACTTGCACATGCGGTAGTAGGACCATCGACCATGGACCAGCAGCAATCGCTCAAGGTACCGGAACTGGGCAATGGAGTAGTCGCTGGACAGGACAGCCTGAAGTCCCTCCTGCCCGGAAATACCCACGCCTATGTGGGCAGCTTTAAGATAAATAATATATTAAATACATAATAAATATAATATATTTTAAAGCAATTACTTACCTTTGATCATGGACACGTCATTGGCACCATCTCCAATAGCGAGGGTGACGGCGTTTTTGGCACGCTTAATTAGCTCGACGACCAGCGCCTTCTGCAGTGGCGTTACCCGGCAACAGATTACCGCCTTGCACTGCGAGGCGATGTCCAGGAATCTGCAGATATATCCCAAATTATTCCACAAATAATTGCCACCCGAAAACTACTGTCTGGCCACTCACTTGGTCTCCAGCTCCGGCGAAAGGCAGTGCACCAGAGAGTGACCGTTGACAACCAGGGCAAAGCCGGTGTTCTCATCGATCAAAATGGAGGCACAGCCCCCATCCTCGCTCCTCTTCTCATCGCCGAATAAATCATTGCATTCAGCACTATTTAAAAACACAAGACTTTTAATTAATACTATATTATGGGGCATGATTTTCAACAATAAAAATGGAAATGTTATCAAGCAAAGTTAAGTGTAGAAAGTGGCATGGTTTTATGAGTTATATTTACAGAGACAAGCAACTACTTTTTTTTAATGAGATAACGAAGAAGAGCAGATATTTAGTTAATGAAAAAGACTGGACAGTGACTGTTTGTTTTTGTGGTTCTAGAGTTTGATTTCGTTCAAAATAATTTTTCATATTCATTTTTGTACAAGGCATGAGGAACAGACAGAACTCAAACAGATGTTGGGTGTACAAAAATATTTTGTTTAAACAATTAGATAAATATAGTTTACTTGACGGGCGGAACAAGCACCAATAGAGGGTAACATCCTTTGGTGGTTAGTACTAAAATGTTCTCTTTTAACTTTTTTTCTTTACATCACTTAACACGAATCATATCAAGAGTATGCTAAGCGAGAAATGACCTTTTACAATTAAAGCCAACCTGTCCTCTAAGACAAACAAAAATATAAATAATCTAAGGTAAGGATACAGATAGATATATTGTAAGATATGTTAATTAAAATAAAGAAGAAGATAGTTCTTAGAACTACTAAACTATAAGTTATAGAGCATTTTAGGTACAACGACTAAGACATTAAGGTAAGGTATATTTCGATGCAAGAAATATATTCTAGCTCTTCTACTCAGATTAAGTTTCACTTTAGCTAGAAATATGGTTGGAAATTCGTTTAATTTTTAAAGCTAAACTATTGAGCTTATTTTTAAGGATTGCCCTCTACCTGTCCGGTCCGCCCTTATTATCCTTAATTTTGTCATCCCACCTAAAGGTAACCACCGAAATGGCAGGCGGTGGAGGCGGCGTGGGCGGTAGGTTCGTCTCCTGCATGAAGGCGGAGGTTTGTGTCATGGTGACACTCAGCGGATCCATATTACTGTCGCTGTTAAAATGGTCCAATGGATCGATGCCTGAAAGAATGGTATTCAGAATAAAAATATTTTTTTTTATAAAATACCCGCTAATAACATTCCTGATCCATAATATGCTTTCTACTAATACTACATTATTGAATTACTTACCTCCTGGTCTGAATCGATAGTATATTTTGATGGACTCCTTGAACTGTCTTAGCTGCTTCTCCACCTCCTCCACGGAATTTCCGTCTACAATGAATACATCAGCCAGGTCATCAGTGAGCAGTTGACAGGAGTAGCCGATGTTGATGGCAGTTTCTAATGGATATATAACTCAAACATTAATTAAACCTTTAAAGTATTTTCCCATCTAAGCTCACCCTGCTTATCGCCAGTGAGTACCCAAATCTTAATGCCTGCATTTTGCAGATTAGCAATGGACTTGGGCACGCCATCCTGCAGTTTGTCCTCAATGGCCGTTACCCCCACCAGCTGCATATCGCTTTCGATCTCCTCGTAAATGGCGTTCAACTTCTGCTCTCGCGAGTCCATCGAAAGAGCAGCCTCCTGTTGCCTCAACCTCCAATCATTGTAGTACTGCTGGGTCAAACGCCGCTCAGCCAGAGCTAAAGTGCGCAGTCCCTCGCCGGCAAATTTCTATTGATATTGGTATATTCATAAGGTAAATTGTCAACCCACTTTATTAAAGGCAACTCACATTGAGGTGATCTTGGGTGCGGGCTTTCAGATCTTCCTGTCCGCCGTGCAGACGATCGTATATCACATTATCTGCTCCTTTGCAGTAGAGCACCACTGAGTCTCCGCGTCGGAGGATCACAGACATCCGCTTGCGGATGTTGTTGAAGTCAAGAATATTTAGGAGCTCATATTCCTGCGCGGATTGAAAAAATATTATTTTATAACTTTATCCTACAAAATCTTAACAATAATTTGAAAATATTAACGATATTCCTAATAAGTTTGTCCATACAACTTTATAAGTATCTCTCACCTCCAACTGCCCCATCACTTCGATGGTAATACTATTCGGTGTTCGTGTGCGAAAAACAAAGCCGAAGTTGCGAGCAGCCGAGACGAGAGCGGCTTCGTCGGGACTCTGGGCCTGGTACTCCAATTTTCCGTCCACCGTTTCGGCCATGACCGTGTGGCAGAGGGCCAGGAGACGGAAAAACACGTGGGAGTGCTCCTCATCCGAACGGACGGCGTCCAGCAACGTACGATCGTACCAGCGGAATTCGCTCTCGTGGTGCGGATTGGCCGAGAAGTCCACACTTTGCAGGGCCTGCGAAACAGAGAAGGTTTAAATACTTGGACTAAAATTGCAGCATAAAAACAGGTGGTTTATCAGTAAGTTAATGTACGTTAAGCTTGGCGGTATACAAATTTAAGCAAAGTTGGCTTTATTTCCTTATCAAAATTAGTCCCAAAGTATATAATGCTTTGTTAATTGTTATGGTGTTACAAAGGAACTCTTAGCGATACCGAAGCGTATAATTATTTTCAAAGTTCATATTTAAAATAAATTAAATTGTATTTAGAATAGTTGTATTTTGATATGATATTATGAAGTTATGTTAAATTTACTTTCAATTCAGTACTTAAACCAAATAGGATACAGAAAATAAAAGGCGGCGCAAAGATGGAAAGTTTTTACGATTTCCAATACGTTTTCAAATGACTTAAAAGATTCAAAAATTAAAAACGCTAAATTAATCAGCAAAAGAGTGAGCTTGAAAAGTCGTTTTAATCATAATCCAGTGCAAATAATAATACGGAAATAAAAGTTAATTTTTTTTGAATGAATTGATTTATAAATTTTCTTGGCATAGCATTGTGGTATTGGCGTGTGGAAAGTAAATTTAAAAGCAACGTCGTTCAATGGCTTGGTTAAAGCAGCAAACATACGAACTGTATACATATATAACACACACTTCTACACTAAACGATAATTTAGGGTGTGAATAGAAGGACATGCAGCATGCATACGTGCACTCTCTGAGGCGACGAACTCCAATTGGTGGCAAATGTTTTGTGGTGGTGCTTTGTGGTGCTCGAGTGGCTTAGGTGCAGTGTGGATTCTGGTTCCCTTTCATGGTGGTGCTCGAGTTGGCAGAAGGGAACCCCCAGCGTGACTGTTGATGGGGATTTCTTGAACCGGATCTTGACTAATCGCTTGCGGTGGTGCTTTGGATGGTGCATGTTGTGTGGTTCAGTCTGCTCAGTGTCATGCAAAATCTTTACTTTGTCGCAGCTGTTTGTGCGGGATAATTGTCGCTGCATATATCCTGCTCCAGTCCTCTTAAAGCCGCCGCTGCTCCTGCGTGCCTCATTGCAGATGGGTGGAGTCAGACCTCCTCCTCCACCGGCCAGCCGGGGGGACAAGCCACCCGCGTTCGCGTCCTCATTCTTACTCCTGCTTGGTGCCGAGTAGTGCACTTGCTTGAGTCCCGGCCGCCTTTCAGTGGCGTCCAAAGGCGGAGCCGAGTACTCGAGGTCCGAACTCGGGCCTATGGGGCTGCTGGCTACTTGCGCTTCACCCGAGGATGTGACCACCAGAGAACTCTTCTTGGCATGGACCTCGGCCTTGTGCACTAGGATGATGGGAGGTGGTGCTGCAGGTGGTGCTGCCGCAGCTCCACCTGCGGGGCTGGGTCTGATGCTGGTGTTGCTATTTTGGAAAATTGTTTGCTGCTATAACGAGTAATGTGAGTTGTTGTTTTTCTTTTTTTTCTTTTGTACATTGGCAGACGCACAATTAAACAAAGACGCACACAGTGGGGTCAGGGAGAGATCAAAGTTTAAGTTTGACTTAGGCACCCAGAGGCTGAGGATGGAATTTCTTTGGGCAGACAGTGCAAGAAACGGACACCGACACACACAAGACAACATACCCTCAACCAAGTTAGAGGTTAAATCGGCTTAGAAGACCCAGAACCCTGAGAGCCCGTCACTTACCTCGGTAATCTCGACGAGCTCGCCAGTCCGCAGGTCAATCACATCGCCATAGCTGCGTCCGTTGATGCTGCACTTGTTGAACGTCATGATGTTCTGGGTTAGGGTGCCCGTCTTGTCCGAGAATATGTACTGGATTTGGCCCAGCTCCTCGTTGAGCGTGGTGGTGCGGGCTTTGGCATAGGTGTTGGTGGTCGCGTGGTACATCTCTTCATCCCAGTTGATGAGAAACGATTGTACGAAGCGTATTACCTTCCAGGGCGAGCATATGGCTATTAGCACATAAATACTATCGTGGAACTTTGTACTTACCTCTACTGAAACGTAGAGAGAGATTGGCACAACTGTGTTTAAGACTATGGCATACGAGAAGAAAACCAGCAATCCGATGACGGTGGCCCCCGTGGGTATGTAATCCTTGGGTATGATGTGCTCCCAGGGCAGGTACAGCTGAAAATGCTGGCCAATCAGGCCCTCCCAGATGGCACAGCCGATTGCAAAAAGAGCACATATTGAAACCAGAAAGAGGACGATCTAAAATAATGAAATAACATATAACATTATTAATAATAATATGATACGTGAAACACTGTGTTTCGCGCAGTGCAATTAATTATAAGTCGAATAGAATATGGAAAGCCTAAGTACCCCAATGATTATAAAGTTAAGCAGGCGGTCAACGCCAGTGCTTTTGAACTGCGTCTTTCCGGAATTCTGCATCAACTTGGTGTCCACTCCGGCAAAGACGACCACGCCATAGCACCACTGCGTGTTCCGGAGAACACAGCCTCTCAACAGTATCTTCTCGTTGTCCAGGGCGAACCTCTGACTCCGCCAGATCAAGGTACCGTCGAACTTGTTCAGAAGGTTGTTGGGTCTTTCGCAAATGATTTCGCCGTTGAAGTTCCACAGCGAATCGTGGCGATCCCCCAGCTCGATGGTCTCCGTCAGGCATTGTTTTGCCTTGAGATTCGTTTCCCCGTCCAGCTCGGCGGTCTCGATGAAGCAAAGACCATTTGGCTCAGATGTTGACAGCAGCAGGGTGTCGGCGGCCACGAACTGATTGTTGTCCAGGCGGATGACATCGCCCACCTGCACCTCCGACCATTTGGCCTCCACCAACTTGCCATTGCGCAGCGTTTTCGACTTGCGATTGTTCACCTGCGAGTCAGACAAGTGACGTTGCTGAAAGAATACAGAAAGATATGAAAAGATTAATAAGACTACAAATATTTTCTGGTATGCTTATTTTATAAGCATATTCCAAATGACAATAGTACATGCCGGCGACATTTTTGACTCGCAAATTGATATTCTTTAACTTACGATATCATCATAGGCATCTTTAACGGCAGTTAGTGTGAGTACACCAATCAGGGGAATTGCTGTGGTCACGGGGGTGAGCGAGGAAATCGCTGGTATCAGCTGAAGGACCAACAGACATAGAAAATAGAAGTTGGCCAACCGCTGAAATTGCTCAAGCAGATTGAAAGGCAGGAACGTGAACAGCGAATACTTTGAGGTTTTGATGTAATTGTTCTGAAAACAAAGGGTAGAGTATTTTATTGTCAAACCTTCAGTAGATTATTATTTGATTCTTCTTCCAGATTTTTTAGCATTAAATTTAAACAAAAAATAAGGATATGTATACAAATTTATGCTTACGTGATATTTGAACTGGGCATTGAACTCTTTGTCGTTGGCGCGTATTCTGCGTTCGTTTTCTGCGAAAAGAATTAAACAAGTTTTAGCAATGCTAACAAATAATTATTATTAATATGAGGTAATATGAAGTATGAAAACCTTATCAATTTTAATAAATTAACAATTTTAATGTTTGATATTATAAGCTTAATTAATTTTATAGTTAGAATTAACTATAATTTATATTTCGGGCTATTTATATTTATATATATTTATATATTGCTTTCTTCTTTATTACCCGAGAAGTAGTAAGAGCTGCGGCGCCTTCTTATCTGGGACAGACGTCTCAGACTGGGCAACGACTTGGTCTCCGAGACCACCGATGGATCCCTTTGCTTGTACTGCTCTTGGTCATCGGTTGTGTTTCTTGAAGGAATCGCTGTACCTGGGGCCAGACTGTAGAAGCTGTCATCCATCATCAGGGGCGTGGCAATGGTTTGGGTGGAGCTGCCAATGTTCATACCCTCCGGTTGGGCTAGGCACGCCCTCTGACTGCATCCTTTATCGGGGTTTCTTCTGTCCTCCTCCTCGGTCTCCTCATCTTCTTCACAGTGCAGTCGTTTTCTTCGACTTTTTGAACTCCTGGCGAACTGAAACCATCGCGTTCTCCTGCTCGTTGCCGAGCACGTAGCTTCGCCAGCTGCTGACCCAGGTCCATCTCCGTTCTTAAGTTCTGGAGTCCGATCATTATCCTCTTGGAGCTCTGGTTCCGCAGGATTGCCGCCCAGAACGGCCAATTCAAGGGTGTCCGGACGCTGTCGCAGGCACCGGGCGGCATCGCTGCATTTCCTGCCCCCGATCATGACCAGCTCAGACTATTGGCGGCACAATCTTGATATAGGGGCTTATCATAACTCTTCATTCTATGAGGGAAAGCGAAAGTTTAACGTGTTGCCAAGTCCCGGGAGATTAAAATGCAATTGAAAATCCATCGGCACCGAAAAAACTTCCATGGGGGGCTGGCTCAATGAAACTGAACCATCCATCACTTTGATGGACTGCTCCCTTACCTTTGCTAAGAACCCAAACAGCTGAAAGCGATTCTCGTCATATTGCGAGTGTTGGCACGCATATGTTTGGGCAATAAATAAATAAACAAATCTCTGCTTTGATATTGGGTACTCATGGGGAATGGTTTTTACAGGGTATATTAAAGACTTGCTGAGTTTCTTCTTCACTTTGTGCACACATAGAAAAATTTAATGCTTCACAACTGTCATCCTACATTTATTGATAAGTTATTGGTCAAAATTTGAAACAAACTTTACTCTTAATAGATACTTTTGAACAAACACAATATACTTTATACCCATTTACCCTACAAGAATTGTGTATAAATATCATGTCGAATCCCAACAACATATCCAATTGATTTAATTTTGTTTAATTGCTGAATTTCTAAATGCTGTAAACTGGCGGGTTGGCCCATCGAGTCTTTTCTGTTTCACACAAGGCAATTGTTTGGTTGTAATTTAATTATTAAATCTTGTAACAAATATTGGAGATAGAAACTTTGATCACGCATAACTTTTTAACGAATGGTCCGATTTGAAAAATTTCTTCTACATTTCGATAGGTATTGATAAACACAATAAAACTGCATTTTTACTTTTCCGAAATATTTAAATTTTTAAAATTGTATATAAGCGATTGTGGGCGTCAGAGGGGGCGTGGCACCATTTTGAAACAAACTTGCGCTGCGTAGGAACTCCTTGAATCTGCTTGCAAAATGCGAATCTTCTAGCTTTTATAGTTTCCGAGATCTCAGCGTTCATACGGACAGACAGACGGACAGACGGACATGGCTATATCGACTTGGCTAGTGACCCTGATCAAGAATATATATACTTTATAGGGTCGGAAACGCTTCCTTCTAGCTGTTACATACTTTTGCACGAATACAATATACCCTTTTACTCTACGAGTAACGGGTATAAAAACAACTCAATTCGATTTTGGTCATTAACAACAGCCGACTAAAACCATGTAATACCATGTAATAGAAAAATGTTCCTCAATCTAATTTTTAGAGAGTTCCCTATTTAGAAAGGCATTTATTGGATAACTTGGAACTTTTATTTTGATTTACTTTGTTTACTGTATCAAGCACTCGCTCTACTAAAGTATCAATGCCATACTTTTCCAACTTATTGTGTAGGAATTTTCTTGGAATTTTTTATGTGAGTACATCTGTGTGCATTATGGTTGAGCACTGGACTACAAAAATCCAAAGGCATGTTTACTACTCGATGTTTACTTTATGCCCGACTACATAAATAGGTAAATCTGCAGTAAGCAGGGCGCTCTGGCGTCACTAAGCTAGCGCTGTTTGTGCGAACATTCCACATTCAACAGGTGTCCTTTATTCAACAATGAGAAGGATGGAAGCTGCAGCACCGTAAAGTCCTCTCTTTTTTATTCTCTTTCCTTTCATAAATGTGGGTGGAAGTCAATGTCAAAACTGTTGTCAAGGCCATTGCGAATACAGGCAAAGAAGGATATGGGTGGCATAAAGGTGAAGAAGAGCGGAAATTGAATCAAAAACGAAAAGTTGAACCTAAAGTTTTAGTCTTCTTTGTAAGGATAGTAAAGGAATCGGCAAAAGTTTGGCCCCACATCCGTTCGATTTCTCTTCGCTCTACTCCGTAAACATGCGGTTTTATTGTGCCTTAAGGACCTGAGCAGTAACAGCTGATTGGCGTGCTCTTTCTCTTTTACACGGCTCTCATCATTTGGCTCTCTTGCCTACACAGAGAAAAACAGCAAAATATCAAAGCGTCGTATTTTTAAAGGGAAAAATAAACTTACAGAATCAAGCGATCTTACAAGTTCTGAATTCTGGAATTATATCTATTTAGTTATTTTGAGAGTTCTCACTGCCAACTATTTTTTCTTTAATAAAAATTATAAGTTGATATGATTTTAATATTATTTTGTTATTTTTTTGTTACGTGTGAAATTGTAATAAGTAATAAGTATTTTAATACCGAATTCAAATGTTTGAAAAACCATTTTGACCGCATTAAAAACTTGTTAAAATTAAAATTATAATTAATCAAAACGTTTTCTTTCAGTGTAGCAAAAACCAAGCCGGCTAAGCTCTGTCGCGCTCGCTTTCCTCGTTCCCGCTCTCTCTTTATCCTTGGCAATATCCTGCTGCGAATATGAGTCATTCATGTGAATGTAAATATGCTCCTTGCTCTCAATTTGTATCGCTTTCTTGAGTTGTTTTTGCCTTTCGTTTTGCCTTGCTCGCATGCGTCACCTTTGGGGGGTCAGTGAAAGGGTGGTGGAAACAAATTAACTACTAGAAAAGGCCAAAAGAATCGATGAAGACTCAATAATTATGCTGAGAGGGCACGAAAAACACAACAAAATAAAGAGGCGAAATAAGGAACATGTTTTCCGTGCCAGGTGCCAAATGCATCATCATCTGCCTCTCCCTCCCCTTTTTCTTCGCTCCTCCTCCCACCCAGCTTCGTACATTTTTAGCACATTTTTTGCACTTATTTTGCACCGCTTGCGTCGAGTTTGCCGTTATTCAGTTAGTTTTTCGCTTTTCTTAGTTTTACGCGGATCTTTTCTTGGAAACGCGGAAACACTTTTGTCCACTGCGACTGCAACTCGAGTTTTCCGCAAAGCATGGATTTTAAATTGGCCCAAGGCTACGCGAAATGCGGAGCAGTCCGCAGCGCGATAAACAAAAACGGCTAACGCCAAAGCCAAATGGCCGACTGCCGCGCGAACTGCGGCCAAAATGGGGAACTGCGACGACGGCAGCGCTGCGACTGCGGCAGAGAAGTGACGTACGCAGAGCGCGCGGTGAGCAAATTACACGCGGCGGCAGCAAAGTCGACTCCGCTGCCAAGGCAACCGTTAGCTTGGCAACCGATTCACACACACACTGAAACAGATCGGGTGAAACGGTTCAAAGCAAATGAAGAGCTTGGCTCAAAAGAGAGCTACAGCAAAAGCTTGGAAATCCAAAGTTTATTGTGCACACGATTTAAGTGGGCTGAGCTGATCTAGGGTTCAAAGGGTCAAACCACAATTGGTGTTACATTCCATTTACAACTGCGGCTTAAAGAAGAAGAGGAACTCGAGGACAAAGAAAACCTTAAAAAAAACCTTCAGTAAGCTGGTTTAAGTTGCCATGATCGACGATCGTTTGGTTCAAGGTGCAGAAGATGAATAGAAGAATCACCAAGAAAATTTTAAAGACGTATGCTGTGCACATATGTACATATATAAGATACAATTAACTGGATCCGAAGGTGGAAACTCAATACATAATTTTTGATTATAGCAACCCTCCCATGTTTTATTTAAATGCTTTGCCGGCAAAGATTAAAATTATAAGTCAAGACCAAGTCTCTTGTCAATTTAATAATAAATAAAAATTGTTATAAACGAGTTAAAAATTTAAGAAGTTCCAATGGTCCGACTTTTATGTTGATGGATTAAACCGAATATGGCTCAATTGATCACGGACTCGGAAGGGCATTTCCCAGTTCGCAGTGACCAAAAGTCGGTCAACAATTTCCCAAGTTTGTCAGGCATTAAAATGAGCGAATTTCGTAAGTCACCCCAAGAAGAAAATGAGAGAAAAATCGAGTGCGGCGGCAAACAAATTGGAGGTTCTTCCTCGCTCTCGCACGTGAACAAAGCAAACAAGAGAAAGCGTGCTCTTTCTCTCTCTCTGTGTGTTCATTCAAATGGGCAGCAATGTCAATGTCAGAACTAAAAAATTATTATTGGCGCTTGAAGAAGTGGCGCATATGGGTTAATGAATGATTGCCGGGGCGGGAAATGGTAATCATACCCCATACAATTGCAGTGTTTTTTTTTTGCCTTCCAGAACAACGCAAACTCAATCAGCGAAGCAACAAACGCCAAAAGTACATAGTTATATACATATGAAATAAATTCGAATTGAATAAAGAAATACTATAGGATACAAAATAGATTGTGCAAATTTATTTTGCGGTTTTTGTGGTTATACACCAAATTGCATTGCAGGAATTCCTTTGAAGATTTCAACAGGTGGATATATGGTAATTAATGAAAGGCTCCATCATCAACAGTTATTTAATAAACATTTAATTCGCTACCCCATTAAGTTCACATTAAGAAATAGTTCAATTAAAGTAATGCATGCATCTTAGGTAACCCCGAATTTCGGTCAAACTTTTTCAAATTATGTTTTCTTAGCCATCTACTGCATGAAAAGAAAATCTTTATTTGTTTTAGTTATAGTATTATATATTAACATTATAATATAATACTTTTTTTCTTTGGAAAAAAAGAAAAAATGAAAACAATCAAAAATGGTGGCATTGAATAAAATTTATAAATGGTTAATGTTATTAAATGAATTTTAAATTCAAATATTGGTTGATTTTATAGGTTTTGTAACAAAATTGAGTTAAAGTTGCTGATAGGCTTTTGGGGTATAGCTGCCAATTAAAACAAAGTCTACAGCCCATTATAATAAGTTTTGAAATTAAAACTTAAATTTACAAACAATTCTAGCTCACTTTATGAACATTCATTTTTGGACTTACAAATTTGTAGAATCAATTTAAAATATTAAATTATGCATATAGAGGATTAAGTCTTGTAGAAAATGGGAAAGTCAACCGAATTTTACCCCATCACAACATAATAGTCTTCGCACGGATTTTAATTTTTTTTGCTCTAGTCGGTTTTACCCCTTACGTACCAAATGGTGCTTACTTGTACAACGTACATACATACATAACTACTTACAAGTAAACAGTTAACCACCCTTACTCTCGAGTCAAAGTAATTCGCATTCATTCATTTCATTCATTGAGCGGCCAAAAGAAGGCGCCTAATAAATCGAAGTGCCGCTCTGGCCAAGCTCAAGGCACTCACGCACAAACACACACTCGTACTTGGACTCCCGCGCACTCACACACACATATTTAGGCCATTGGTTAACGGTGGCTTTGTGGAATAGTGTCAGGGCCAAAATCGAGCAACGGACGGCTCTTTGTTAGAGTTTCTCGTCGACTTTCCCAGCAATTGGTTTAGTAACGCCAGAAAACTGGGTCACTATCTGCCCAAAATCAGTAACAACTGTTCAACTTTTTGCCACCCCAATAGCGAGATTTCCCAATCTGAAATGCCAAAGGCTTTGAGCAAAATCAATTTGTTGCGGGATCGTATTTATTTTGGATATTGATTGTTGAGGTGTGTTCTATTATCTTTTAATGAACTAATGGTTATTTAATTGAAAGTCTGTACCGCATGGCCGACTATGCTAGTATGTACCAATCGACATATACTATATGTATGATCAGTTTTTATTCACCAGATTAAATATAAATATGTTCTTGTAATTCTTAAGTATTTAAAGAGAGCATCGAGATCCAGTGCTAAGATTATTTAAATTAGTCAAGGGTTAAGAATTGGACTGAAGCCCACCAACTTTATTGGTGATTAAACTAAAAACCAATTAGTTGAAAATATTTACAATATTAATTTAAATGTGT